CTGGGAACTTGTTTGAGGCCATATAGCGCACGCCGAAGTAAGCAAACATAGTCAGGATGAAATGAATCGCGGAAACCCAATGGTTGTTCCATATAGACAAGAACATCGAGATCGCCGTGTAGGAAGATGTTCTTGACATCTAATTGGCGGATCTCCCAATTCTGAACAGTAGCAACAGATAAGACAATGTGAATTGTGGCTTGTTTAACCATCGGACTAAAAGTTTAAGTTTTAGAATAATTGGCTGTGGTCCCATCAAATCTCATATGGTATCAAAGCTGGAGATTTAGTGGGACCACTGCCAACTGTTCTAAAAGCTTAAACTATTAGAAAAAGTCGTGGTTTAATATTTAATTACTCTAACACTTGTTCCAAAACGTCCATGGCAAGACCATATTCCAGTACATGAAGGAGGACTCTTCCCTGAAATAGTACTTCAATGATGCGATGGCCGATATATCTACGGCGCATACAAGGAAGATCCTCGAGGTCTACCGGGGGTTCGATGGGATCTCGACTCTAGTTGATGTTAGCGGTGGAAAAGGCGCGACCCTTAACATGATCATCTCAAAGTACCCCTCAATCAAGGGCATCAACTTCGATTTGCCCCAAGTCATCGAACACGCTCCTTCTTATCCCTGTACATTAATTATCACATTTATTTTGGTTCAAACTATTTAGCACGAAATAGTGTTTGCAAAAATTTGAGGCATTGTCGTCCCCGAATAAGGCCTCTAATAACTTTGGTAATAATGGCGTGCAGACGTGGAGCACGTCGGAGGGGATATGTCCGCGAGCGTCCCGGAGGGTGACGCGATCATGATTAAGGCAAGCTAATTGAATCCTTTGCTTTAGTTACACTCCTTAAATTGAAGTTGATTTCGCGAGCTGTGTCCTAACTTTACATGACTCCGTAAATTGGGCAGGGTCCGTGCCACGATTGGAGCGACGAGTCATGCCTAAAGTTCCTGAAGAACTGCCACAAGGCTTTGCCGGCGAACGGGAAGGTGATCGTGATGGACTTCATCATGCCGGACGAGCCGGAGGAGACGAGGGCGTCTCGGTTCGTGTCATTGCTCGACAACGCCATGTTGATTCAGCCGGGGAGGAAGGAGAGGACCGAGAATCAGTTCGAGTACCTGTGCAAAGGAGCTGGTTTCACAGGATTTAAGGTCGCTGCCCGAGCTGTGTCGGCACTGGGAGTGATTGAGTTCACCAAGTGAATTGAATGAACTCCATCTTTGTCTTCCCTTGTCCAGGTGGTCTTATGTAGAAGAAGCAAATAGACATTTTGTGGAATTCAATGAGTAAAAAGGCCTCGACAGGGACTTCTGCAATCAGGATTTTCCTCTTCTGGTTCAGCCTTAGCTCTTTTTCTTAGTACGTAATAAAACGATATTTGCTTGATTAGGACCGTGACCTGCTCGAGTAAACTTTGATCGAGTCCGACGTCATGTTGATTGAGTACCCAAAACATGCTCATTAATCATTAAGAAAAGAATCAGGGATAAAACACACGGTTATTTCTAACATAAAACGATTACACAGACATCTCGAGGTTATTTACGCCAAGTTCCATTGAACATGCATGCTGGAACTAATCCTTTCCATAAATGTCCGATACGTTCTAACCGACACAGTTAATCGGGGCGCGAGGTTAAGAAATCGAATCGCGAGTAATAATGAACTGCATGCTGCATATACTTTGCCCTTAAGAGCTAGCCATCTCAATTTAAGTCGACAACGGTTTCGAAAAGGATGAACGGGTTTAAAATGGAAGTTCGTCGGTGGCTTTGGATTCGAACAAGAGCATATAGGTATCTGATGTGTGATATTTCTTTTGTTGCGTGGTTCATATCGTTTGATAAGATGAGCACTGTCCTTCAAATCTCGGGACTCCACATACGAGTGCGTTGTGAACAGTAGCTCTAAGAAAGTTTCGATAGGATCCAAGAAAACAAGAGGTACCGCATTGATGCTGGCAATTGCTCGCACCGCATGTGGAACTATCCCTCCTTGTTAGGATTTGCCACACAATCACAAAGAAATAGAAAATAAAAGCGAGAAGGAGAATTTGAGACGCAAAGTTTTATCTTGGTTCACCTTTAAACTAGAGCTATGTCCAGCTGAGAATTCCACTAAATTTAGCATCCCGTACATCTCTATTACATCTTTCAATTACAAGAGAAAGAAAATATATAGACAAAAGTTTGATTCAAAATAGGAAACCTCTTTCTAGGAAACCTACTCCAATTACGAAACCATTCAATTAGGATATTGTATGACCACATCCCTCCTTGTTAGGATTCGCCGCGCAATCAATAGTTTGAGCGGGACCCCTGTGCTGTCCAGTTGCTGAGGAGTATGAACCACATGCCAACATTCCTTCCAAGATTTGTCCCATTGTTGTCTGGCATTTAGAATATTGTATGAACACATTCGATTCATCAGGAGAAGCAAGAAGAAAAGGAACCGAATCAGAACAATCACAGAGATAATAGAAAAAAAAATTGACACACGAGTTTACCCAAGTTCATCTCTAGAATAGGGCTACGTTCTGCAAAGGGATTCCACTATGATATTTAGGTTTTACAACCACAATCACTCGTTACAATAATCTCTCATACGAGTACAATATATATATATGACTTAAAATGGGCCCAAAGCCCAAGCCTATCAAAATCCCTTTGATCCCACAACAAATGAGCCAGCAAACCCGAATTGCAATTCCGTTAATGTCCTGTCAGATTTATCGCGACAAGACGATCTGTTGCTTATCACGAGATATCACATGTAGTGAGAAGCATCTACGAAACACATTAACTTGGATGTATGACTCAACTTTGTATTTCGAAACCATCCGAGAGCTCATCTAAAATCGACGGATTTCGACTTTTTCCTTTGCAATATGAGATCATTATCTTCGTCATTCTTGTTTAAAGTTAGATTTCCATACGAAAGTCATAATTATGGACAGGAGAAAATATTTCTATCAAAATTGTAGAGTGTCTCACACCAAACTAAGGTGGTAAAATATGATTTTGTAGTCACTTCTTTCCGATAATAACTCAAATTTGTAGTGGCATACTCAAATTTGTATTTCGAAACCATCCGAGAGCTCATCTAAAATCGACGGATTTCGACTTTTTCCTTTGCAATATGAGATCATTATCTTCGTCATTCTTGTTTAAAGTTAGATTTCCATACGAAAGTCATAATTATGGACAGGAGAAAATATTTCTATCAAAATTGTAGAGTGTCTCACACCAAACTAAGGTGGTAAAATATGATTTTGTAGTCACTTCTTTCCGATAATAACTCAAATTTGTAGTGGCATACTATCTATAATTTACCAGCAACGATCTGGGTCCTTCTATTTTATTGGAAGTTTTGAACCTGTAAAAAGGGAATTTTGAGTTCTCGCATTAATTTCTAACTTGGTCTTAGTATTAACATAAAACATGTTACTTCCTTTTTTTAACGTTCAATCAGGATAAATTCTTCGAAATGTCCACCAAAATCAAATGTATAAAGATTACAAAGCATTTTCTCTTTTCCAAATCGTATAAATCACGTCGTCACAATTCGTCTCGAAGAAAATTGATGCCCTAAGATCCGAATCCGACGGGGTTCGGGTCCCATCCATCGTGGGCGGGTCCTCTGGTTAAAGCGGATTCCCATCTTCCATGGTTGCATTTCAATTCTTGGTGGCCATGGATGGTGAGAACCCTACCACATGCCAGTCAATTCAACCTAAATGTCATGCTTTAAGCGAACGAATCGAGGGAAGGTACTGGCAAATGCCCGCGATGTCTCTCTTGTTGCAACGCAGTCAAGTCACCCTCAATGGTTGCCGATTCAGCCAGCCTTCGCGGCCCTCATAATGTCATATCATCATCATCATCGTCATCATCTATGGTGCTATTGATTGTCCTTCTTCGCCAGCAAAAGTGATGGGGTCAGTTTTCCATACTTGGCTGAAAGCTGTTGCATGGCTTGATTTGCCATTTGAAAAGCTCATGCCATGTGCTTATACAATGCTTTCGTCTTGGTGCTGCAACTCAGATGATGTTTCGAACCAAACTTTGCTAAACAAAAACTAAGTCCGCCCTATCAGCTTGGTTAGAGATGAAACTACTCAGTGTCCTGATTCGGATGTATGTCCGGAGATACTTTCCTGTGAACTGGTGCTCATATGTCACGTGTTCATCGAATTAGATGTGATCGGGACATTATGAAGTCTTATGATAAATAACTGCTTGTATATTTTCGTTTGAGCACTGAAAAGGAACAAAAGTTCGAAAGATTAATTGAGTGGTCAAGCGCTTAATTTGAATATCATAGCTTACTCACTCGAACCACATCATCTCCCGCTCCTATTAACCGTGATGTCGACCACCACCTCATGAGTGGAGCTTTATCCGACATCCACCACCTCATGAGTGGAGCTTTATCCGACATCGTTTAGGCGTAGTAGCTTAACCGAAGAAAATACTAAAAGAAAAAAAAAAGGAGTAAATGAACAAATTATGAAAAAGGCCTTAGGCGGAGGAATCCGGGGAGAGCGTATCACTAAACTACTGCACAAACACTAACCGATGATCTCTCATATGGGCCTAGCCGCCTAGGCCCATGTTTAGGCCCATGATACACACACACATATTGTGTGTCTAAATTTTATAATTTTAAGTTGGGATTTTTTTGTTGATAGATGGTCTCTTGATCTTCAAGTTAAGTGCATAAATCGGCAGCAGCATAACCTCTCCCTAGTTAGTATGGCATGCTAGATGGATCCGACTGCTTATGGTAATACCTACTTAGCCTAGACAACTAAAAAGTCGGCGAAACTTATACGATATATAAATTGACTCGTTTTCGTTCATTAGTACAAGAGTATCACTTTGAGATGTTGGTCGAAGCATGGGGTATTTAATATTTCAAATAGCTAGGAGGGAGCATAGCATCACTTCAATGCAATGATTGTGAGTGTGCTCTCGACATTGTAATCACCGCTCATTTTATATTACGTTCGCAAAAATTAGCCGTGCATACATGTTTAGAGAAGGGTTATTTATCCTAATTCACATACAACGTGATGGTAAAAAAGATTTACAATCCATGAGTAAGAGCAGATAATCGTCACTATTACTAGTCTTTTTATCTTCTGCTAACTCTCATCCCACAGCCTCACCACGTTGCCATTGATCGCCCTCAAGTCCTGGAACTGGTACCACTCTCTTTCTCCATTCCTCAATCTCACAACTCCCTCCCAACTCCACCACCACCCTCTCCCACCAAACTCAGCTTCATCAGTCGTGGTCGCCGGCAGCGGCGGCTCGTCCTCTCTCCGATCCTCCTCGTAATATGTCGTAAACTTGCCCTTCGTAACTCCTCCGCCGTCGCATTCAAACCATGTCAGAGACAAAGGAGGAGGAGTAGAAGCACCAGATTCAAATTCTACCTCCACAGTGCCACAAGATGCGGGTTGCGGAAAAGATCGATCCGCATTTACAATTTCATCTTCACGAGATGACGACGACGACGACAAGGACGACAAGTATTCTTCACTTACTCGCCTGGAAATGGCGGATGACGCCGAGGCTCGGATTCGCCAGAAACTGAGAGCTGCAGTGCTGATGACGACGATCCAGGTCCACAAGTTGCTCGCGGAGGCAAGGAATCCGAAGCTCGCGTAATCGGACGCGAGTGCTACGAGCGGAGAATCCATCACAGTGCTCATGCCTGAGCAATCGTCCTTCTCCAAAACCGAAGCCCCGACCGCAAATCCTCCAAGCCCGAACTCGTGATGGGTTGATCGACTTGCGACTGTCTTCAGTTGCCTGTTGTTGCGGCGGATCAAAAGACAACCCACGAGGAGTCAGCTTGGGGGACGAACAAGTTATGAGGAGACGAGAGGAGAGGGGAGAGAGAGAGACTATGGGAGATAAGGTGAACCATGAGATGGAGAGATGCCGAGAACCGAGAGCAGAAGATGCCAAACTGCGTTAGCTAGATCCCAGGATTTATACTACCGAAAACAAGGAAACAATCTTGATTCTTGACTGCAACGAACGCAGTTCACCTGACGGTGGGCATTGACGCATGAAAAACAAGAATGGTGTTGTTAGCAGTAAGTGGCACGTGGTGCACGAAGTGGGGTAGCTGAGGAACTTTGGTGTAAAACCCTAGAAGTCATTAAAGGCTTTCCTACTTTGCCGGAACTTGCAGAAAAATTAGGTGAGTGTGCACTCCTGGAATTTCTGGCCAGTCATGTCCTAGAAAGTGACAGAAGCTGACCAGCGAACCGTCGTGATTCACGTCACAGATCTACCGTCTTCCTCTTTGGCCATAAATAAAGAAAAATGAAGGTCGCAGAGTCAATGGTCATCTCATCTCAATATTTTACAGGCAAAAAACACAGTTGGCTCCGTGAAGCTCCTTGATTACCCTCTGATAGACCTTAATCTTTTCCTCACAATCTTTCATGGCACGTGCAGGATCCGCCGAAGTACCGGTTGCCAGGGCCGGGATATCAGCCTGTATGCGAAACTTCATGCGGCGTAGAATCACTATCCGTATGTATGTATGAGTTGTGTCTGGGTTTCGATATCTCGCTATAACACCAAATCAGGAAAAAAGATGGTCCATTGACACCTTCACTTGGGGACAGTTTGCTAAAACAAAAGAGTTCAGATGATGAGAAGATGAATGTTTTGTACCTTTGAGTTTGCATGCTTGCCATGTGATCGGCGAGAATTCTTGAACGCATGGGGTCCATGCGAGTTGAATGCATTCGCAATATTTCATTTAGATAGTACGTTCAACGGGTGACCTATGTGAACGTAATTCGTCTACAAATAGACTTTGGGATCGACACATGACAAGAGCAACATAATTTTCACGTGTATATTGGACAGGCAAGAAGACACGCATGCACGCAGATCACATATCAAAATCCTCGACGGCCAAATTGCGGTGGTTGTCGCTGTTGCCCTTACAAATTCTAAGCATCCGTCCCCTCATCTCTCTCTTTCTCTCTCTCTCTCAAACACAGACGCGCGCATGCACAAGCCACCCATACCCACGTGAATATAAGCAGGCACACATTGAGTGTGCGCGCAACGTAATTTCTCTCAAATATGAAATCCTCGACCACAAGACCATTCGCAAGGATCACAAAGATTTTGAATTTCGAACAAGAGCACAAGAACTGTCATTGAGATTATCTTCTTTGATTTACTAGTTTCGTCCGATGCTTCTTAAGTTTGCATTTCGAACAGGAGTATCACAAGTTGCCGTGAAGAGAGAGAGAGAGAGGGATGGTACTTCAAGTCCAGCCCAAGCCCAGTTTTTTCATGCATACAAAAGGTGGATATCTTCAGGCCCATAACAGCAACTTCCCACCAACTCATTTCTGAATTTGACCATATTTGGTGGTATTCCTTTCGGTGATCAACATTGCAGCCTTGAAATAATGAAAGTCCTTGCATTTGGCCTTACACTATCGCCAATGTGTTGGCAGAACCAACAGCATCTAGCAATTTTGCAAGACCTTCTGCTCAATAAACGATTTTTTTTTTCGGACTCTCATTTCGTTTAATCTAATCAATGAAAAAGTTCATTTTCACTCAGGGGCACTAGTCGATCGTCACGTGCGCATAAAGTTCATTTTTAGGCACTTCGAGAAACTCTTGCATGAACCCGAGTGATATGAATCTCACATGATCAACGACTATAATAGACTCGGTCCTAGTCAAAAAAAAATTTGCTCACTCACTTCATGCTTCTCTGTCAACACTTTGTTCAAGGGGAGAATTTTCCTAGAAATGGAAAATTTCTAAGTTGTTTCCTCAAAGACCGATTAGTCCTCTTCAGAGAAATGGGTCGAATCGGAAAAAAGGTAGACCTTCCAAAGGTCATCCTTGTTAGGGGTGAACATGGTCCGGGTTGGGCCGGTCCAACACCTAACCCTGGGACCAATCCGCACAGTGTTGGTCCCCAATTTTTGGGACCGAGGACCGACCCTATTAAGCTTGGGACTGAGGACTGGACCGACCCTATGAGTCCGGTTCGGTTCTAGAGTCAACCTGGTACCAACTGATTTTTTTTATGTTTCATTTTTTTTATTTGTTGAAAGGACAAACGGTATAATTTGAAAATACATATCTATCGACAATGCAATATTGAGTAACCAAACTATGGACCCCGGTACAAATCAAATAAAAATCTAAGATAACGCAACAACAAAAATCTCCACTTAGACCACCGCCCGCAGCGGCTGCGTTGATTCGCGCTCTCTGCCCCTCACGAAGGGTGGGAAGTTCGAATCCCAGCGTAGTCATTAGGGATTCTTAAGTGTGGCGCCGTGGTGGTGGGTCCTGCACTAGCGTCACCCTGGGTTTACGTCGCCGGCTGTCGGCTATACAGCGGTTCCCGGGTCATCAAAAAAAAAATCTCCACTTAGTACCTTACCAAAAAAAAAATCTCCACTTAGTAGTATACAAACATGTGAAATAAAATTAAAAAATAAAATGGTCAAAATACATAACATAAACCATGAATTATACAATTTCATACCTTGTTCATTCTCAAAAGATTGCTTCAATTTCTGAACACTTGAAAACAAAACAAACAACTTCATATCTTGTTCATGAGACGCCAAGGAGGGCCAAGTGAGGCGACCTGCGTTCACCGTTCGTGAGACGCCGAGGTGGGCCAAGAGAGGCAAGTTGGTTCGTGAGGCGAGCAGGGAGAGGCGGATCTAGCGAACAGCCACAGAGAAGCGAGGGAAGAAGAGAGACGACGCTTAATAGTCAATAGGGTTTCTATTTTCAACGCCAAAAAAAAAGGTGGGAGGGGCATTAGGTTCTTTGGAAAACATATATATATATATATATATATATATAGGGTTGGCCAGGGTTGGACCAACCCCAAACTCCCAAGACCAAAGACCAACCCGCATAGTACATGGTCCAGAGGTCCCAGGACCAAAAACCGACTCAGTCCCCCTGGGAACCGGACCATGACCGGCCGGGTTGGGCCAGTCCAGGGTCGATCCAGGGACCCTGGACCGTTGCTCACCCCTAATCTTTGTTTCTAAGATGGTAACAGACCTTTCAAAAAAATTTGCTCACTCACTTCTTGCTTCTCTGTCAACACTTTGTTCAAGGGGAGAATTTTCCTAGAAATGGAAAATTTCCAAGTTGTTTCCTCAAAGGCCGATTAGTCCTCTTCAGAGAAATGGGTCGAATCGGAAAAAAGGTAGACCTTTCAGAAAGGTCATCTTTGTTTCCAAGATGGTAACAGGCCTTCTCTTGGAAGGAATTCTATCTCGTGCCTACGTGTCAAACACCTTTCGAATTTTAAGATTCCGAAAATTTTTTAAGAATAAGTTGTTTAGGGTTTGTTTGTTCGGTGAAAAGTAAACGATGTGAAAAATATTTTCCTAAAAATGAATGAATATCTCAGCAAAATTTCCCTGTCGCTTTATATAGAAATTAATCACACTGACTGAGTCGGATAAGTATTTTATATTTAGCATTTTCTTGTCAATTTTCAGAGCGTCTCATCGCTACACGAAGCACAAAATCTCAATCGTTCTATCGACTCGATGAATGAGTACGTAGGAGCTCCTTTGGGATTGATACCTCGACTCGTTAGATTAAGCGAGTTAATCATTATCAGCTTAGGATTCACCTACTCTTTCCATGAGTTTAGAGGTTGGTACGCCTCAACCAACTCTCATCTCATTTAATATACCATCTCAGTCGTACCCAAGACAAACATTCACATTCAACCAGAATCTGCACACATTATTACTTGACTTCGATGAGTCAATCTAGAGTTTATGGTCCTCTTATGAAAGTTTGACATTTCATCGTATTTCAATCATGATGAACGTGTTTGATCAAGCAGATCTTCGAAGTCACCCTTTGGAACAGATCGAGTCTTTATGTTCTCTGTTAGAAATCTCGCATGAGGCTCAACTAAATCGTACTATATCCTCATATTCAAAGGCGTCGCTTACTTGTCTTAGGGTGTAGACTTAGAAAAATTTTCGAGGAATTAAATCTCGTGTTGCCCCCAGACGAAGATGTGTTGCAGCTTCGTGGTAACATCCGAACCGTCGCAGGTGGTCAACTCTTCGGATAAGCTTATGCAGTAACTTCATGAACTTTATGCCTTAAATTTTGTTTCATCTTTCTGTAAAGTTGGAGCAGTACTTCAATCATGATGAACGTGTTTGATCATCTCTCAACGTGATGTTCTTATTGGGATTTGAAAACAAGAGAGAACCCACTAAATTAAACATCATCGTCATTATTGAAGCATACGTGCTAAGTTGGTGGCTGGAAATCCGTAGTAGACAAGAACACGGTGTATCTTCGCAGAAAAGAACCGAGTCCACGGCTGGAGGTAATGGAAAACCATGGGAAAAGGAAGAGACCGACCGGCGTCACGGCTGAGATAAGAGAGGAGTACGGACTTTGATTTTCAAGGCAAAGAGAGACGTGCAGCACTTCGATTTAGGAGGCGCAGATCTGGTGCTTCTTCAGAAGAGTGCCTCTTTGCCTTGAATGTGCTTCTGGTTTTCTTGGATGCTTCCCATTTCATACTTAGTCTCTTGACATATGCTTTTCCATATGTTCCCATGAATTAATGATTTAAATGTTACACCTGAGTTTCTAAAATCACAAGGTGCATTGTTCATGCGTGGTTTCGAACAAAACAAGGGTCGCTAGAAGGGTTTTGTTAGTTTACACGAGAGAGAGAGAGAGAGAGAGAGAGAGAGAGAGAGAGAGAGAGAGAGAGAGAGAGAGAGAGAGTTGATTAAATAAAACTATGAAAAGTACTAATTTAGTCAATATTGATCAAATGAGGTTCAATTAGACCAAACAAAAATGAGGTTCAAAGTTTTCACAGAGGTTTCATTGGCAACCTAAATGGACTAAACTGCCGATTACAATTAATGAAAGACCGAGAGTTAAAAGTAAACTTTTTGCCAATGCATAACACGAGTATGGAGACCCGAAAAAAGTAATTTTTGAAGGGCCATGTTTTCTTTCAATAACATGATTTTGATTAGTAAGTTATAGATATAAAGGGAAAATTACCAAAAAAAAACTTAAATCTATTGGGCTTGTGCCAATTCAGTCCTAAACATTTTAATTATATGAATTGAGTCATAAGCCTTTTGATAATTTGTCAATTTAATCATTCCGATCAATTTTAGCTAGAAATTACTAACATAGGCACAAGCCAACTTACATGGCATGATCGACACTGACATAGACAATTGTACAATTTTTTTGATATTTTTTCTTTTCTTTTTTTCTTTTTTGTT